AAAAAAAAAATCATATGTCGTAATCGAACATATCCACAGTAATAGGACAAAAATCTGAAGTACCTTTTGCTTAGGAAATAATTTCATTTGAGGAATAATTTTTTCTTATTTCGATTACTATGTTTCTTGATTATTAATCGTGCTGTAATTTTTTTTACATCTAGTCGTCACATTGGAAACGAAAAAGAAGCGCCGGACGTTTGGCATGACTTAAGCCACTTCCGGGAGCAATTTGGAACGGCCGAAGCGAGCACAACAGAAAGAGAGATAAATAGATAAATAGATCAAGAAACGGGCATCGCAAGCACGAGTGCAAGATGTCCGAGAGCGAGGCGAAACCGGCCTCGCCGATACCGACGGTAACGTGTGTGCAATGCTGCGGCGGCAGCGGTAGCAGCGGCGGCGGCGGCGGCGGCGGCGGAAGTGGTCCAACGATCACGCAATGCCCAGTTCTGCAGGTCACCTCGCGGATGTTGCGCTCGCCGAGTCACGAGAGTGTCACCACCGACCTGTCGCTCTTCAGCGTGTCGTCGATCGCGAGCGATCTGCGCGGCGCCAACAGATTGGTCACCTTCAAGTCCTACAGCGACGCGCAGCTCGCCGGACGCGGACCCTCTCCGAAACCAGACTCTCGACAGATTCAGGGTAACAGGTTCGTATATCTTTACATTCTTATAATTGTATATTACATCAGTTCCCGCGCAGAGACATAATTACTCTACATTCATGTGTTTTACCAGGCCAGCGGACATTCCCGAGATTTTATGGTTCGAGGAGGAGAACGAGTTGATTCGCAGCTGCGGAGTTCTATCGTCAGCGCTGGGACTGCGCAAGAGCTTCAGCACGAGCGATGTGTCGCAGCTTCCCAGCCCGGACGCAGCTGGGGCCGGTGGTCTTCGAACGGCGGTGTCCGCTTTGGCTCTCGACACCGCTCAGCGCAACACTCTGTTGTTGGAGCACGCCAGACTCGATCACGCCTCGAGGTCCTGCAGCACCTGGGTCGCCGTGGGCGAGCCCGTGGCCAGCACGTCTCAGCTTCCCAGTCCGCACGGCGGAACCGCGCAGGAGCCGCAACAGCAATCGCAGCAACAGTCGCAGTCCTCCTCGAACGCTCAATCGGTGCCGCAACTACCGCCGCAACCGCCGGCACCGCCGCCGCCGCCGCCTGTGCCATTCACCGGAGCGGATCTCGTCAGATCCGTGAATAAGAAAGTTCGGCAGAACTACATACGACGAAGGTTTGTAATCGATGAAATATATATTGTTTTCGTGTGTACAAATTTTGTGAGTTCTTTTGATATAATCGTTTTCGAATAACAGCGAATGCATTTGCGAGCTTTCTGTTACGCACCTAAAACGGAAATCTTGAGTCTTTTATTCAGATTATATTATATATCTTGATCGTTCATATATAAAATTTGTACCTAAATGAATATAACATGTTTGAAATTCAATATTTCACGATATAAAACAGAATGTTTCACTTTCATTAGGTTACTAACTACTTACCGCGCTTTGGAGCGCCTTTCGCAGAGTGAGTTCAACCTAGATCAACTAGAAGCAGCGGCCACCGCGGCTCAAACCTCTCATGGAACCACTTTACTGGTGCCCGGAACGGCCGCAGGAGTTTCCGGTGCTTCCTTGATCGGACGGAAAGAACGTAATCACGCGCTGACAGTCCGGGACGTCGAGAGGGAACGCGGAAATCAATTATCCAAATACGAGAGGAACATGATGATCTTTAATTGGCTCCACACTCTAGACGACAGCGCGGTCGTAGATAGCGTTGAATAAGAGACATGAAGAGCTAAAGCGTTTCTCTCACGACTCCGACAACCTCGTGCGACCTCGTGCCTAAATCCCTTCCTCTTCGACATTATTTTATCGAGGATGCTTCGTCGATACAGACACTATATTGTCGCATCTCGGAGGATACCGCTAATGTGTAAGGCTTCTGGGGATACGTAGTTATATATTGAATTATGATGTCTATAAAGAGGAAAATTATACGAATTTTTGTCTTACATCATTCATTGAAATTAATTAGTTTCTTCGCATGCTCCTCTATTCACATCCGATAAAATAGTAAAATGATAAAATGCTTAAAAAAACTCATTTTTCGATTCTGCTTTATTAATAAATGATTATATAATTTAATCTACATGTGTTTGTATGAACTTCATTGTAAAGATTTACAATTACTCTTTATTTATTAATCGAAAACAGAGTTCGACATATTTTATTTCACTTATTTTATCGAATATGAATAGTAGTATGAAAAAAAAACTAATTTATTTCAATGCATATTGCAAGAATAAATCTACAAATGTAGTATATAGTGCGATTTCATATCATAGTATGATTTTTTCACTTCTGATCTCATAATTCAATGTGACTGCAGTAACGAGTCAGAAGCTAAGCTAAAGTAATTGTCGTAAGACATCCGTCCCGCCTCGTCCGGCGATACCGGCTGGTGTCGCTTCGACGAGCGTATCCAAAGTATAAACCGTATACAGCGGAAGTTTTACTGGCTATATACAAAGCACGCACGCAAGATGGGCCTTATAGCGAATTCGGCATTGAGACATATTAAAAGCTGCTAAATGTGCAATAGTTTATGTAATACAACGGCATAATATAATCACATTAACCGATAAATCTCCAGCATGTATTATACCGAATACTATTATTATATTATTTAGTAAAATATGTCAGGAATTTTATCGATCAAGGTACTTATATTGTTGCACTTGAATAACTTCATGTATAGCAGCCTTTGGTATGCACCAGTGTAGGGTAGGCGACCGAATTTGCTATTAGTTACAGACTGAGGAATTATTCAACTTGGAAATATCTCTAACGTAATACGAGGAATATACACTTGAACGTGTGTACTCTTCGAAACGCTAGTGACCAGTTGATTGTAGAAATCTTTTATTCGTATCCATAATATATTTATTGGCTAAGCTAAAAAAAATAACGTTTGAATTTAGAAATATTTCTACAATACGATAATGCAATTAAATTATAATATTTTTGCGAGATTTCATATGAGTAGAACTCTTCTAAAACTCAACACTCGCGCAGATTCAGTTACCAAGAGATTTAGTAATTTAAAAGCTAATTTTAATAATTAATAATTTAGCAGTTCAGTATATAATTCTGTGACAAAATTTGTGCGTTAAAAAACAGCGTATAAATTGAAAGAACGTACGTCTTGTGTTAAGTACTTAGATACATATCGATGAAGTTTTTATTAATCGACAGAACGTAAATGTGTCGAAAGATATCAAGTTGTTATTTTTCATGATAAAACTGCAATTAAAATTGTAGACCAAAAACTACAATGTTTTGTATTCTCAGTCTGCAATTAACATTAACGATATCCGACTCATACACAAGATTTATGATGCGAGATGCAATCCGAAGAGCTCTACTTGTGAAATATAAACGAGACGATAATGCACACATTTTAGTATATTCTGATTTTTGTGATCCGAGATATCCGGTACAAAGAACTAGTCATTCCGTTTATTCTAAATAGAAGAGATAAAACATTATTCAGAGTACATGCATAAGAATATTTGATTTTATGATGCATATTCCAGCGTAAATAGTAAATCTGAAACAATTACTTTTATATGTTTCGTCTGACGATATTATATCAGTATTACGCGCCGTGACCAGGAGATACCCAAACGTTTTTGGGTTATTAAATGGATGTGCGATCATGAGTAATGCGCTTTCATGTATATTAAATGTTCCTTCCAAATGTGTAATGTTCGCCAACATCGTGATAATATCTGTGGTGCAGAGTACCGAACAAATAAAAGATTTATTAAATATTTTATGTCCACACACACAGACCTTGTCCCTATAGTTATAAAGATAAGTATAAAAATATAAAAAATAAGAAAATTGTCAAGATTGCGACATGCTGAAAATTATTAACATGAAAAAAGTGTGTTCAACAATAAAAACTTTAGATATCATCTATCAGGCCTCAAAGGACAGTCTAAGGAAAAAAAAATGTCTTATCGGGGAGAACATTTTAATGGAAACGAAAGATTATAAAAGCTAGTATAATATCATATAATGTTGATGATTAAAGATTATAATAAAATTAAATATAAATTCACACATACATTTTATAGAAGACCTTGTCTCTTAAGATCCTCGTAAGTTTTGCGATTGACCACGTTGCCAAGCGAATCTTCGAATTCCTCCTCCTGCTCTGGTTGCCATCGTTCAGCTTGTTTCTGCGCCTTGAGCTTTTCCCATAGCGCGAGGGCGTCTTCAATTTGAGTGACATTAGCGAAGTGTGCCGTGTTCGGAATGCCGAGACAGCGCATGCCGTGTGCATGTCTCCATTCCGCGAAGTGCCTCTGGAATGCCTTCGGACCTTTATAAGTGAAGTTGCCACAAATCTCGCAGTTGTAACTGATGTTCAAGCCGTGCAGTTTGTACAACCAATATGGTATGGGCTTTCCATCCCAGCCCAGGGGTAAATTTTTTGGATTGTAAGGAACTTCATTATCATCCTCTTCTTCCGATTCACTCGCACTTGCCTCTGCATCGGAATCTCCCCTTTCACCTTCGGTTCTTGCTTGCTTTCTCTGTACGTTCTCCTTTGTAGCTACTCGTTGACTAGATACCAATTCGGCCAGCTTATACACGTGAGCTTCGAATCGTGCAATCTCCTTTTGTTTCTCGGAATCTCTGCCCTTAGCTGACTTTCCCTTCCGATTCTTGGCCAATAGATTAGGATCCAGGGAAGCCTCGCCTTTTGTGCTGAAGAGTCTTTGCGCTCGTTCTTCAAGCGTGCCTCCGCACTTGAGTCCTAACGCCATCAAGGCTGATTTTAATCTATCTAAGCCAAGAGACGCCAGCTCTTCCCACGATGAGAATGCCGATAGCTCCAAATGTGCTCCTACATGAGTCAGAGCGCTTCCAGTTTCCTTAGGCCAACCCGGAAATGTGTTCTTTTCCCATTGAGTTTGAAAATCTTTGTTGGCCTCTTCGATCTCTGTGCTTATATCCAGGAGTGGTCTCACTCTGCCAAGGTACTCTGACAAATATCCTAGTAAAGACTCGGCATACCTCTGATATTCTGCATTCTTTCTTTCTCTTGGAATGTCAAATAAATGATCAAATGTTGACAAGTAAGTGATATAATCTATCTTTTCTATTCCTTTCAGATTGACATATTTCTGATAACACTCATGAAGATCAAGGTATTTGCCATAACCTTCTTCGTCTGTAAATTCAACAAGATTGGACAGTTCTTCGGTGGGATTTTCTCTCATCTTAGCTAACTCTTCAAATTCAACAGACATAGGAACACTGATCTCGTTGGGATGTCGTCGATAGAATTCCTTTATGGACTTCAAGCGTGTATAGAATTCTGAGAATTCATTTGGACCAGAAAGCGCTTGAACCTAAAACATAGAAATGAAGAAAATATTTTGAGAACATTTGAAACATTAACTGCTAAGAGATAAAATTATATTATGTCTCTCTGTCAAGAGGTTATATTAAGTTAAGAGATTAAGTTAGGTTATTTTAACGTACTTCCTCTTTCCTCTGTCCATCCTTATCTTCGTACAAGTCCTGCAGATGTGTTGTGCTGTCCATATACTGATCCAATAACATTTTCAGGCGATGTTCCGAATTGATGTTTTCGCGATGTCCTGCTTTCTTGTGCAGCATCTCTTTCACCATTGCGTCCATCAAACGTTCTCGTTCTTCATGATATCGTCGTTGCTGTTCTAATATTGTCTCCATTTCTGCGTTTTTACGTAAATCTAAGTTACTTTAATTCATTTACTCCAAAATATCAATTCAGTCAACATCGACATCAATCCTAAACTGATCGTGACTGATAGCAACTAACTTCCTTCAACATGGCGGAACTTTGAATTGAAAGGTTGCGTTCACAAAACCATCACTGAGTGGCTATTTTTCTACGGTACTGCTATCTAGCGGTAGTCCATTGTAAACATTTGAAATCGATGGAATTTTCATTAACTGTGGGCAAAAAACAATTTTTAAACAGAATTTAGTTTAAATATAATTTTAGACTTCTGATCAATATAAAAAACCATTTAGTGCGTTTTAAGCTTTGCAAAGAATAATGAAGTAAAATATATGTACATTAAAAAACACCTTAAGTAAAATAAATAGAGAAAGCTCAATAGTTAGAAAAGTAATAATATTTTCTTTTATTCTATTTTGCAAAATAGGGGAAAATATATGGTGGACACTTTCATTTCTTTGTAGGAATAGTATAAAGGTTGGTCAATGTTTCATAATTACTTAATTAAAAGTACATGGCAACTGCATATTATGTAAACATCGTAAATATTAACAATACAATTAGTGTACGTGACTGGAAAGAATGTGATAAAGCGCGACTAGAGCTACAAAGATAAAATTAGCGATGACTTGAAAAGAACAACCCGAGCACGTCTCTACGTGATTGAAAAGTTCTTTATAGGTAAGCACCGTCTTCTTCGTTGATGATGTGGGAACCAAACCGGACGTGGAGTCTTTGAAGAGAAGATCTATCGTGCCATTGAATGGACCATAAATATGAATTGGTCTTCTAGCATTTACGCGATATCCTAGCCAATCTTCTATTCTTAGCAAGGCTTGGATAATATCGTTCGTAAAGATCTCCGAGTTGTTTCTGCGACTAACAACCTAAAAAAAATATTACAATTTATTCGTTACTTCCAAACAAATGTGAAATATTAATGCTTAAATTAGCATATAGATTCTTCTAAAATTCTTCTGATAATTCATACTATTAGTACATTTTGTATTATTTTTGCATATGTAAATAATATATTTTTGATTTTACAATATTGATAATTTTTGAGTAAAATATTTAATTAAACAAACTACTACTTTTATGTAATATTTTACATAATATACTGAAGCATTTTAATGGAAGCATTTTACCTCACTATCAATTGTCACCGATAATGCGCAAAATTCATCAAAGACGAGTCCTGGACTTTGGGCCAAACTTCCATTTTTGCATAAAATACGATACATATTCGGATCGATGGTGCCATCTGCGCAATATTAATGAATAATTATCAAATATATATAACATATATAAAAAAGTGTAAAAGGTAGCACATGTCATCCTTTAAATTTAATTAAATTACAAAGATATGTTTTCCATTCACCAATAATAAATAAAAAGTTACAAAATTGATAAAAAAATAGTTATCTAAAAAATAGATAAGATAAAAATAATTAATAGAAATATCTATTCTGTAAAGTGCTGATATCTTTAAAATGAAAAAAATTAGATATAAATGTTTTTAAACTTTTTCATAATTCAATAACAATATAGATAATTGATCGCTTTGTACCGATAATATTTGCCGCCTCGACGAACGCCACATCGCCGGCTCCTTCACTGAGGCACCTTAAGGCTCCTTTGTCGCCGTAATAGCGATTAGTCGAGTTCACCGCGCAAAGATTATTTTGACAAGCCGAGCAGAGTTTGGACGAGATGTCTGTGGAGATCGAGCTGCGTGAATGATCGGCGTCATCTATTCCGGGGGTACAGGCGCCGGACAAAAATTTGGACACCAACGTTGGATAATCGCAAGCTTTAGATGAAATGAGGCCGCTCGTTCTCGCGAGATTGACGAAACTCAACCAGCCGGTTCCGCCGTACTCGGGGAAACACGCTTTTCGATTCTTTAAATCGTTGAAGCTCTTCACAGGATAATCGGCGTCCTTAGGTTCGCGCACTACTGCAATTATCTCGCTGTTTTTATCTATATCAGTTTCGCTGTAGAGAACCGTCGATAGTCCGTAAAGTCTGCGTGTACAAACAGACAAAAGTTACCACAATCAATTTTATATACATAGAGATATTTCTAAGTTTTCCTACAAGTTTTCGCAAATATTTAAATTTTTCTACTCACATTCGCGCCACCATTCCATAGTTGGAATCGATGGCAATTATGTCCGCTCGATCGTTAGCTATCTCATGGAAACATTGGAATGTAGAATTTGCCTTGACGCAAGAAATTCTCGGTGAGACACCGAGGGCTGTCGCTGCTTTCGACACCCACACGCACTTGTTGGTCTCCAGATCACTGATCGTACACCAACGAATGGTTCTGTCGCAACTATCGCTATTTTCGAGATCGATTTCTCTCCCTTGTCTGAGATATATGGCTATAGACTTTTCCGACATATCGATAGCCCGGCTATCTTCCTGTATAATCTTATTCAGAGCAATCTTCCAAGAATCTGTCTGTGGATTTATTTTCAACCATTCCAACAATTCAAGCTTAAGAGTTTCTGCAATTTCCCTGAAAACAAAAAAGTTTGTTAACAAAATATATTCAAGCAAATTATTGCGAGAAAGTAATCTAAATAACGTATTTTACCAAACACCGTTCACTTACTTTCTAGATATGATGACGCTCCATGGTTGTTTGAGCCACGTACAAGGTGTTTCGCTGGATAAAGGGAGAACATTGCCATTTGGACACAAAAATTGGTACGAAGCGTTTCTCTAGAGCGCGTAAAAAATGATCGATATTATTACAAAAAATAAACAGAGTGTAAATAATTAATACAATGATTAATATACTTTACCTTAAGATATTCTTGAACGTAGCTAAGCGCTACATATGCCACGTTTCCTCTACCTTCTATTAAACAATCCAAAGCTCCGTAATGTCCATGTTTTTGATTATTGCTATAATAGCAATCCGCGCCGTCGCAAAGTTCGCACAATTCTGGATATTTCCACTCTTTAAAAAAAAATTATAAATGTTAGAATATAAAAAAAAAATCATTAACAAAGCTGAAAAAAAATCTACAGTTAATTGCAAAAACAGAGTGCAATTTCTGAATCAATTCAAACTTCCTTTAAATTTATTTCTCTTGTTTCATATAAAAGTTTTACAGTTAACGTTCAATAAGAATAAATTTATGTGCTAATGTAAGTCGACTTACTTAATTCCTGATCAAAAGAGCTATCAGGTGACCAATCACCAGGTCTACAAGCCTTTCCAAAGAAATCCCTAAGATTTCTGACTTCGTTTTCGATGACGGTTACATTTTCTTGGCACCTTGATGAATTTACTGTTTTCTCAAGTACTGTTTTTTCAAAATGCTTGAGAATATAATCGTTCCACCATTGAACTTTACTGAAACCAGGATGGCAAAGGCCAGCGTTCTTTAAACGCTTGAGGCGTTCGCCAGGAGGTAAATCGATTTGGCTCAAATCTGCCGAGACCACTGCCACCGTTTGGAATTCGAATTCCTCTGTGAAATTTAACTTAGGTTTAATCATATATTTTTCTTATTAAGTTGTACAACAATTTGCAATTAAATTTTAGTGCTTAATAATTCGAGAAAATACATTTGCATACTGATTACCATGTAGCTTATCTTTATGTCTCAGCTGAAGAATGGGTAGAATATTGGTCGGATAAAATTGATACGTCAGCAACAACTCTTCCGCATTGAAGACACCGAAGTCGGCCTCTCCCGTGGCTAAGCGGATAGCGCATTCCGCGCTATCTGCTACGCGCAAACACGATACTTCACTGTCCCCTCGTTGCAAGGAATAGCATGAACCATCGTTTATCGTTTCGGCAGGTGCGCAGAATTTGTCTGAAAAATCGGAAATTATTTGATATAAATACAAAGTATACAATTTCAGTAACAAGTTTAATAATGAGATTTTTCTTAAAAAATTTTAAAGAAACCAAAAATCAATTTTGAGAAGATCTTGATACAGATATAATCAATAGTAACAATTACATTTTTTTGGATCATTTATATATGTAATAAGTGTAATACCATTAAAATTTTTGTTTCGTTACAAATAAAATAATAAAAAACAAATAAATCTTCGAAATATTTTGTTGAAGACAATGAAACTTTGCTTTTTGAATTATTAGCATACTTTTATCAATAATCTGATTCACATTTCAAGTTCTTTTTAATCAACGTAATTGGTAATTTTATCGTTATCTCAACAATCTAATCTTAAACATTTTAAATTGTCTAATTTCGCTCAAATGAGTCGAGAAATGAGTAAGATTTCCTCGATCTGTATATTGCAGAAAAATCGACTTAATCGATTAATAGAGTAAATATAGATTAGTTCTAGTAGAATGATATTAATCTTTGCATTTCTTAGATCTTATGTAATATTATAAAATTACGTAATAAAACTATAGTATCAAATAATAAATAAAGTTTTTCGATAGCTATTAAAATATCTGTATCTAATTTTTAATAATGTCTAATAATGAAAAAAGTATGCCATAAGTTTTACTGTAAATCGTGATTCAAACTTCTCAAAATTTAATCTTGTGCATTTAAAGATTAATTAATAAACCTTAATGATACAAAAAAAAAAAAAATATGTACTAAAATTTTTTTACTTTAAAATCTTTATTTTTGTCTAATATATCGCCTATATTATTCTGCGATATATTTTCGATTTAAATTGTTTAAAAAGTTATATATATTGTATGAATTTTAATATCGTAAGTAATATAATCGTTATCAATACGCAATATATTCGTTATCAATTCGTCAATAGTCAAAAGTCAATAAATTGGACTTTGTCACAAAATAAAAAGTTTACAACATGCAAAGCAATTTCTCATATGCAAAATATTTTTTGGAAAACAAAGATAAAGTGCGAACAACATTTTTAATATTGAATCTTCAATATGGAATAAATATTATAAGTATTTTTACTAATTAAAATCATAATAGCATTCATCGTGCAATTTGAAAAAAACATTTTACAGCTTTTGCAATTTTTAGATTGCGAGTAAGTAATTCATTATTAAGAGAATCAAGTCAAAAGATAGAAATATCATAAATTTATTAAAATCTCTTAATAAATAAAGTTTCACTGAAATAGTAGATAGACTTTTTTAGTTAAAATATATTGACTTACATCTCGGTTGCGCACGTGCAACCGCAACAAGCAGAATCACCCAAACGATATTCCTCATCGCCGATCGGAAGGCAATATCCAACGACAGTTTGATACAAACTGATGTCGAATCTGTTCTTAACATGGATAGTGAGAGCGGAACTAGGTGTGCCGTTTGCCTCTTCACACATATCGATAAGAAGCTTCTGATAACGCGGTCGCATACGCCCTGTATATACATTACGTTGTTATATGGCCGCTTCTACAATCGCGCCGTCCCCCATCCTTCAGGAATCAAACTGTCGATGCAAGGTGTGAGCCACGGTTCATGGGAACAGTGCGGCATTTATTCCAAGTTCATTTTGTACGATTTATTTGCATTTCGAGACAGAATTTCTTCGAAATTTTATTTCTTTAAAATCCCGAGAATTTTACATACAATTTCATGTATATGTATATATCGATTCTTATAAATATAATTATTGAATAATAAAAAAATGTATTAATCGTAACTCTGAGTTATAATTAAATTATTTTTCCACTGATCTTTCATTTTTAAATCTGTCATCGTGGCTTACTTCTCGAGTTTTTCTTTCTGCACACCTTTCTGCGATTCTTTAATTACGTCATGACTAGAGACGCTATTTCGTTATTTCAATGACGTGGTATTCTAAGATACGCAGCGACATATTCGCTTATCAGAGATGACGATAGCTTTCCACGAAAGTAGTTAGCGCGTCGATGATTAAATTTTCGAAGAAGAAATATTTATGAATTTAATGCTAAATTTTAATCTGTGCAATCTAAATTTGTTTTCGATAAGCTAGTGTTTTAGCATGTTTTAACAATCTAGCATATTCTATTACTGCTAAGTGAGCAAAATATCTAATTTCACAGCTATAAAAATTATGCACGGACGAGTGTCAGAATAATTGTCAGATAATTATGAGTATATATATAGACAAAGACTACGTTCGTGCAACTCTTCGAGTAGAGAAAAGTAATTGTTATTTTTACAGATTCTAAGAATTTTTTTTAGGAATGATAGTATTTATATTGATTACAGCAATCTTCGGTATGTTTGCACCTAGGAAATCAGTGATTGCGTTATAATAAAAAAATATTTAACAATGATATTGCATTGATGGATACATCGATGTCATTAATGTGCAGTGACGTAATAATTATTAATTACAATAGCTATTAATATTCGCGAGTTTGCAGGATTTGGCGAGATGCATGTTAAAACGGAAGAAAATAGTCAAATATACTCACCATCGACATTCATTTGCGTGGATGGCACCGTGGTATCATTAGTAAACGTTTGCGATGGAATTCCTCATTGTCCAGATTCCTCGGACGAAGTTGCAACATTGTGCCGTCATATTGTGTAAGAAGATACTATTAACTTCGATCTGCTATCACTATCATTAAACATAGGACTGGCTGAATGTCCTTCCTGAAGATAAGATAATTAAAATAGAATTAAAATTCGCAGATACTTTCTCTTTCGGATTTCAATCTTTTAATCTAACTATTCGACACTTTATTATAATTTCTATATCTATCGCTTTTCATCATCGCTTTTACATGACAATTATTTTTTTATTCTTCAGATGTCCCATGCACTTGTACAGATGCAGTTATGGAGCTTGCGTGAATTACACGGCGCGATGCAACGGTCTGGTGGATTGTATAGACGCTAGCGACGAGATCGCTTGCGATCGAGATTCTAATGATGTTTGTTCGGATAGAGAGTTCCAGTGTTCTACTGATCATTTAGAGTGCGTACCCCTCGCAGAAATGTGCAACGGTTTGTATTTGTCTAATTTTTGTTGAGTATAAAAAAAGTACTCCGCGCGCCCATACATAATTATAATCCGAAGTCACGATTAATATAATGTTTTTTCTTTATATTTAACAAAAAAATTGTTTTAATGGAATAACATTTTTAAGAAATATTTTACTGAAAGCAAAGTGTACATTTTACTCCAATTTCTACCAGGATATAAAGATTGTTCGGATGGAAGTGACGAAAACGCGATTTGTCACGAATATTCATGCCCGGAGTACACGTTCCGTTGTTTATACGGAGGTTGCGTTCATCAAGAAGTAATTTGCGATGGTGTCAAGGACTGTATTGACGGTACCGATGAAGATTTAAACATGTGCACAGCTATTAATTGCAAAGATGGAGAATGTCCGCAACATAAATGCCGGTTCGTTGAATATACAATTAACTAATTTGTATCTCGTTAACTTTCGTGAAGCGTCGAGATTGGAATTTTATTCTGTATTTTCGTAGAGACGAAGAATTTGTATGTAAAAACGGAGGGCAATGCTTACCAATAACTAAAATATGCGACGGCGCTCGTCACTGTCTAGACGCATCTGATGAAAGCACAGAAATGTGTAACGCACGTAAGTACGTATTCCACAATACAATTCGATCTAAATTGAGTATTTCCACTTCAATAAAAAATCAGACCTGGAATCAATTATTTGATCGAAGATTAAATTTTTGTCAAATATCTAATACCTAATATATTATTGAAAAATATTAGAATCTTACTGCTAAATATCTAAAGTATGAAAATTTTTTGTGAGATAAAATAGATCTCATTAATTTTCCATTTATAGATGCCCTGAGAATTGGTTTCGCTGCGTCTACGGCGGCTGCATTCGACCGGAATGGAAATGCGATTCTCGGCTTAATTGTCACGACTGGAGCGACGAGGACGAGTCGCTATGCGGGATAACACTATCTAAAAATGCCTGTCGATTACCCGCAGCAAAAGCTGGAACACATTATAGCGTAAGTGAATGTCCAAGATGCCGACCGGGCCAAATTGTTCCAGAATTTACACGAATCGATTATACCTGCGACGTTGAGGACTCTTTGCAAGGTCCCAGTACAATTTATTGCCAGAATAACAGGTGGTTCCCCGGCATTCCGCGCTGTGCTTCCGGTAAGTAATGTTTTTTCTATACTCGATATCAAAATAGAGTCGAGATCCTTTTTATTTATTAATATTAATTTTCCTACGCAGTGTAATTCGTAATAAAACACTGATACAAAGTAATTTCTCATAAAACAAAAATAAATCATAGACATACGAGTGAGAGAGATATCGAGCGCGAATGACTAGGCCGGAAACGAGAAACGATTTTTATCGCTAAGTTATCCAGATTCCCCCGCTCATCCATATACTTATTTAATGACCTTGTACTTATAAAATAAAAGGATGTCTAATAATTACTAATTTATTGTATCTAATTTATATTTTCTAGATAAGAGAAAATTATTTTTAATATGAAAAATAATACTCATCTGTTTGATTAGGTATTATTTAGATGTACCGATTAAAATACTAATTGCTCTTATGTAAAATATTTTAGCAAATGAATCGGAAGGAATGACATGTTCAGCGCTGTCCGAAGCGCATGGCGCGATTAGGCGATGCGAGGCGATGTGGGGTCCTCATAAAGGATGGGTGCCGTGTAACTACACTCTCCTGGTCGGCACGCGGGTTTTTCTCGAGTGTCCGGTATTTTACGAGCGTCGACAAGGATCCTCCAGTGTCATGTGCCTTCACGACGGCACTTGGAGCCAACCACCATTGAGTTGCGCTCCTATCTGCGGAACGAGAGAGTCCACAGGTCCGCAGATCGATAATGTATAATCGTTATTCGTAAAGCGAGTTTGTGTATAACAAATGCATTCTACAATTAAAATAAAAAATCTAACGCGTCTCCCCAAAACGGATCGTGATTTTTATGTTTCAGAAATGCACGAGTAGAAATTTCTAATACGCTTTTTTGTTTCCATGATAATATTTAGAGGCGGCATTAATTATAAAAGGTTGGCGCGTCAAGAGGGAGGAGATGCTGCCGTGGCAAGCCACCCTCTTCTCGCACGAGGACGGCCAGTGGAGATTTTTTTGCGGCGGCACTTTGGTAGCGGAACGCGTCGTGTTAACCGCCGGCCACTGTGTTTGGAAAACCTCAGCGGATACGGTGCGCGTTGCCTTCGGGATTCTCTCGAGCGATTTGAGAGAGGCGGGGGAAAACGCGCAGGTAATCGACGTGGAAAGTATCGAACTGCAGGGCGCGTATCAAGATCACGAGAGTAACTACGCCTCGGACATCGCATTACTGATTCTGAAGGAAGCTGTGACCATCAATTCGATTGTCGGACCCGTTTGCCTTCCTCGAAATCCCGACGCGATATTGGCGGAATCTCAGAAAAACGGAGGGCTTGGGTTGGTCGCCGGTAAATCAAATTCTTTCTAATGACTGGCGATTAATAAACGACTTAGCCAACAGTTTCCAGAAATTTAAAAGTCTTCCAGGGATGGGACTGACGGAGAACGACACGTTCAGTTCGGTATTAAGAGTGACCACGATGAAGATCGTTTCCGACGACGAATGTCGCGAAAGCCAGAAGAAAGATTTTCGAAAATACTTAACTTACACGTCCTTTTGCGCCGGATGGGAGAACGGCACTGGAGTGTGCAACGGGGACAGCGGCGGAGGGCTGGTGATTCAGCGACCAAATTCCAGCGTCTGGGAAGTGCACGGGGTGGTTTCCGTAAGCCCACGGAGATTAGGTACCAGCATGTGCGATCCTAATTTCTATACAGTTTTCACAAAGGTATATTAAGTATACAGATGTCGGCGAATATCGCTTGAATAAATATATCTGAAACATATTTCAATCATCCCAGCAAACACAGAACATTGCAGCAATATTGCCGCAATATTGTTGCAATGTTCTGTGTTTGCTGGGATTTATTGATAATTTCAATAATGTCGATGGAATTATTGTTATAAATGTAAAGAAGCAAAAAGTGGCCAAAAGACAAGTGGATAATTATTATAATTCCTGAATGCAGTAATATCGCTCATACACTGTTGATGTATTAAATCATTCTGTTTATGATGTTGTCGCAGGTTTCAATGTACACCGATTGGATTAACAGAATCATCAAGAGCATACCGATAGTTGGCCCACCTGATCTTGATCAACAACCCAACAGAGATGACATCGTTGTTTGAACAGTGAAAAGTTAACATTTAGAATTAAATTGTCAATTTAAATAATATTAATTTTTATCGTAAAAATATATGTGTGGATATGGCTTAAACTATTTACAGAGAGAAGACTGAGAGTGGACATGCCCGCATTTTACGTGTTTCCGTGGGTTAGCGCCTCTATGTGCACAAAACGTGCACATTGAACTACGTAGCCAATGTCCACGAATCCCGTAAACAATGTCCACGATCTTTCGGGTCTCTTCCGTGCTACGTCCACGACTTTTTGGTTTCGATATGTGCTATATCTACAAAGTGTCGGTAATGCATACTTGTAAAACATGATTATGTATGTCAATCAGATTTGAAATATAAATACGCACGTATTGTAAATACATGTATTGTAGCATTTACTTTTGCATTTTACAGTTTATTTAGCAAAAGATCAGTTATTTTCAATAACCTGTAACTTGAAAATGTACATTTAAATTATTTTAATAAATTACTTCTATAATTTTGTGTGTGTGTGTGTGTGTGTGTGTGTGTGCGCGTGCGCGCGCGCGCGTGCAAGCAAGTGTGCAAATTGTGTACCGCACAAAGTTTCATTTAACAATTAAGTTTTAAAATTTAATTCTATATTCTTAACACTACACATACACAAAATTTTGTATGCTTGTTCTGGAAGACTTTAATTTCTTCTAAAACAAATATTGTATATCAATTAAAAAAAACCGTGTCATAAAACTTGAAACTATATTGGTCGGATCGAATACTTGTTTATTTTTTAAAATATGACTGTCCTAAAAATTACCCTTTTTAAAAATTGTGTATTTACCAATCCTTTATAAATCAGATATTGTCAAAAATTATTTTAAGAATATCTTATTTATAAAAGATTGGTAAAAATGAAAATCTGCAACAAAAATGAACGCACACGCACGCACACGCACACAAAATTATAGAAGTAATTTATTAAAATAATTTAAATGTACATTTTCGAATTACAGGTTATTGAAAATAACTGATCTTTTGCTAAATAAACTGTAAATGCAAAAGTAAATGCTACAATACATGTATTTACAACACGTGTGTATTTATATTTCAAATCTGATTGATATACATAATCATGTTTTACAAGTATGCATTACCGACACTTTGTAGATATAGCACATATCGAAACCAAAAAGTCGTGGACGTAGCACGGAAGAGACTCAAAAGATCGTGGACATTGCCTACGGGATTCGTGGACATTGGCTACGTAGTTCAATGTGCACGTTTTGTGCACATAGAGGCGCTAACCCACGGAAACACGTAAAATGCGGGCATGTCCACTCTCAGTCTTCTCTCTGATCAAAGCTCGGCGTTAGTTGCACATTTCGGCTCGATTCTTGAGAGGACGCCTCCCGCTCTCCCACTACCGCGCAGCCGCTGGCCCAGCTGGGAGAGCGGGAGGCGTCCTCTCAAGAATCGAGCCGAAATGTGCAACTAACGCCGAGCTCTGATATAAATATATCAATGCAAACATATCGATAAATTAAATGCCGTTTCCATTCCTATTTTATATTCTCTTGCTTTAAAAACAAAAGAATATTCTCTACGGAAGATGGATATAAATGTCGGCCATGTGTCATCAAGATAAAAATAAATTTTATAACTTTAAGAATATTGATTCTAATCGGTGTACAATTCGCTTGATCGAAAATAAATGTTATAATTTCGTTCATTAAAGACATCAGCATGGCGAATCTTTCGGTGGCTGTAAGTAAAATATCGAAACATAATAAAACTAAATAAAAAAATACAGATCTTGTAAATCGTATAGAAATATATAGATCTGATTTTTATTAAGAAATTGTTATGTATAAGAGAGAGAATTTGTTGTAAATAAAAATGCACACAATGGATGTCTTATGCAAATAGCATTTCTACATCAATATACTTTTGAAAACAATATAAAATTTTATATTTCCTGCAAAGATATTATATTTCAATTTGTTATAATTTATTAGAGTAAGGACTCAATTGATCTGATGCAAGAAAAGAACAAAATACAAACAGTACTCATCACGAATAAAAATACAAGCGTAAGATACGATGATATTTATATCACACCGGACCATATAAAATTTGACGAAGCCTTTGAATCAATATACTTTGATAACAATATAGAATTTTATAACAGGCCTGCGTAGCATGCGAGTTTCCTGCAAAGATATTATATTTCAATTTGTTATAATTTATTAGAGTAAGGACTCAATTGATCTGATGCAAGAAAAGAACAAAATACAAACAGTACTCATCACGAATAAAAATACAAGCGTAAGATACGATGATATTTATATCACACCGGACCATATAAAATTTGACGAAGCCTTTGAAGGTGTCACGTATCAGCAACGAATTACTATCAAAAACGTCGGAAGTAAACCTGCGTTCATCAAAATCCACCAGCCAACTTCTATAGTAAAAATATCTTACAATAAAAATAAATTCTAATTTTTTTACCGTAAGATACGAATCTATCATAACAATTAGAATTTTATAACAGGCTTTTCAAATAAAAATTTTGCAAAGTAGCATGCGAGTGAGTCCTGGATTGAGTGTAACAGCGTATGTAACTTATAGTTTTAAAAGAATGTCCTTATTGCATGCGATTATCCCGATCGAGATCAATGGAAAGGCTTTCAATTATCGTGTGTTAAGTACAATCGCCACCGGATACCTCTGCATCGAGCCAAAGTCGATAGACTTTGGTACCATCGACATTGGCTATACATCTAGTTTTAAAATAATAACAATTCGTAATGAAGGAAACAAAAGCGCCAGGTATCTGCACATTGTAGATTAATATTAAAAAAAGGCAGATCAAATTTTTATTACAGCATAATTTCTATTACTTACACGAGTAAAAATGATAGAAAACATATTTGACATAATTAAACTTGCTGAAAATTTGATACTGCTTTTTTAAAATCAAATATCAATTTGTATAAGTTTCTTTTCCTGTTTAATTTAACTTTCGTAGACTCGAGCTCAAAATGAGCTTACTTTGCACAATTGCATTTTATAAATCCAGAAATGAAAATCGACAGATTCTCGATCGATCTTGGACAAAATGATGTAGACATAACGGTAAAACCCTTTCGCGGAATAATCGGACCACAAAAAGAAGCGAAACTCCACGTTGAATTAATGTGCATGAAGGAGGGCGTGTTTTACAGCGAGTTCTGGTAAGATGTTCTCACCGCTTGTCACTAACTTTTCGTTATCGTGAGAAAGATTCGAACAATTTTCTCAGGATTAAATCTATTCCGAATATACGCGTTCCCATAAAAGTAAATGTCATCGTACCGCGATTGGTAGTTTATCATCCGAACACGATCGGCGATCTCACCCTCATCGAATTTCCATCCACAATAGAAAATAGCAGCAGATACGATACTTTCGTTCTGCGCAATATGTCATCCCGAGTCGCGAGTTATGTCATCCTTGGTGAGATTGACAATGAAGTAAAATACATTCAGGTATGAAATTATTCTAACTTCTTTGGACAGATTGAAAACTTCAGCCAATTTTCACTTTAAGACTCTTGCAAATGCCGAAAGCTCAGACGAGAATCTTTATATAATGTAATTAACTCCGCTAAGTTCCGCCACTGCCTTCGGCTTTTAATTAATCGACTCATATCTAACAAGTAGGTTTTACTAAAATTACTCTTGCAGGATATTGATCGTAAGCGCTATCCAACTTACGATGCTTTCAAAATTCACCCGCTTGAAGGACATATAAATCCATTTCAAGGTATCATCTTTGAAGTAAAGTGAGTGCGGTTATTGCATAAAGTCGAATCTGTCGTAAAAGAGATGAATGTGTTGTACATTATAAAAAAAATAATAGATTTTCGCCAACGAACACGTCAATGCAACGGAAACAAAAATGCGAACACAAACAGCGGACAGAATGTAAAAATAAATGTCAAACTCAAGAAAACGGAGATTTTATGGCATTTATTCGGATAGTTCGAGTGCATTGTATAGAATCAGAAGATATGAGTGCGTTGATTTTTCTTCATTGTGTATTATTAATATAAGCAAGACTTTCATATTTTTCTTTCAGTATTATATAGAAAGTTCCATCTGTCCATCTGAAATTCTCTTAATTATAAATTTTTTATTTTAATGATAATTCTACAGGGATTGATCCTGCAAAGGATTCTACGATAAACACAGAAAATTCACCACAAAAAATTTATATACGTGAGTGACTCTTTAACAATTTATGCATTAGAATGTATTAATACGGTTTATCTTCTTTTCAATAAGCAATTTTGTATTGAATAATTGTATAATTGATGTAAACAATTGGCCATTTGGTTTTAACAGAAGAAACAGTGATGGAGACTTCTTCTTTATCAACGTCCTGCGAATCAAATTCAGATACTTATGACGTAATAAAGCTCTGTCTTTACGGTAAAATGGAGACTGTACAGTTGCAATTCGAGCCCGATACTCTCTATTTCGGTGATTTAATTGTCGGTCAAATGTCACAGCGTGTTCTTCGCCTGACAAATTCTTCTGCCGTTGCACCGATATGTTTAAAATATGCACCGAACGCAGCTGCACGCTGTTATCCGAATTGGATACGGCTCAAGTCGAAAGAATCGATCGAAGTTCTGATTAAAGTTCGCGGCAAAGAGAGCAGTAATTATTACAAAATTTTTTTTTATACTTTAAATATGATAAGCGTTTAAATTACATAATGCGATATAAATAAAATCTCAAAAATATGATTTGAAAAATTTGTTTCCTGTCATATTTGTTACTTTAAATCATATAATTTTTTCTGAATACTTAAAAGTATCGAAAATATTTCGGACATTTCTATTCAGCTCTCCCTTTTGCTTAATATATTTTAAACAATAAATTTTACATTCTAAAATATTCTTTACAGTCAAATCTGCATTCAACTTGGTCTTTGATGTCATAGCGCATTCTTACAATTCGGATGCGTCGAGACGATGCCTCGAAAAGACCAAAGTTGGAAGCTACTCCGTCAAATGTATGGTGAATATTATTTTCAAGTCCAAAAACGATCTTCTAAGTAAGTCAATATTGAGTAATTAATACAAGTTTGTATCGTCTAACGTTTTCAAAAATTGATTTGGCTTTTCGGTAAAGGCAAAAGGAGTTTGCCGGCAATAAAAGCAACAGATGACGATGAGGAAATTATGAAACGTCTTCTTCGTTCGCCTAAATGGAAATCATTATATAAAAACGATTTGAAAATCGATGGATTTGTGAAATGCGTGAGCGAATCTCTATTCCAAAAATCGAACACAACCAAGGCAATTGTATTGATGCCATTATCGCCCTTACAAATATACAGAATCCATATTTATCCAATCACTTTCATATTCGGCATGGTAAGTAATCTAAGATGTAAATATAAAATATCGAATAAGAGAGCGGTAATTTCGATAAAATGCTCTTCAAAATGATTACGAAAATTGAGTGATTGATAGGTAGCATCCAATAGCTTCAACTATCATCGGTTGGTTGTTAAGAACACGAACGACATCCCGGTGATGATACGATTAGAAAGTTTATCGACGTGCATTCGCTTCCCAGAGGGTGACTTGATGATCTTGCAACCGAACTCGACAATAACGAGACTGATTGAGTATTTCGCGGACAGAATTGGCAAGTTTAACGGGTACATCAATTACGTGATTAACGATAATCACTGCTTCGAGCTCAATATTATCGCTGACGTCGTGCGCAAACAGTTGTACGTTGACAAAAGCGAGATTGATCTCGGTAAGGAATGGCTGAGTGAAGAAACATACAGACCAATAGCCTCTGTTATTCGAATTACAAACAAATTAGAAGCGAAAACGCATTTTAGGTAACATTATTTTGTTCTCTCTGAGCAATTATTAAAAAAATTAATTGCGCTAACAAGTATACGTCTTTTGTTAAACTTCTCTTTTTCGATCTTTTGATGAGTTTTAAAGATGCTGTAGAATAGTTATAAAGTTTTAAAATTTGTTGCAGTTGGGAAGTGCCGACGATGTCTGGATTCTACGTAGAACCGACATCAGGTGTCATACGCGGTAACACTATTTTATACGTTTACGTGTATTATAAGCCGAATGACGCTAAGGTTACTCATGTGCAAGCGATAATGAAGTGTGAAAACGAAAATTACGTGTCTCTGCGATTCAATGCACCGCGAGTCGTGCCAAAAGTTGAATTTATGACCGACAGTGCGAGCGTGGGGGAAATACCGCTCAATTTGCCGATCAAAGTGATCGCAGTTCTTCAAAATTTCGAATTTAACGAGGTGTTGTACGAGGTGGATAGCGCATCGTTGATACGCGGCTGCAGCGTTAATCCGCTGCGGGGAAAAATATCGCCACGTGGTATCGCGATCTTCGAGGTATTATGTTCTGCCTTAGTCATCGATATATATCGTTATACAAAAATAATACTTGCGATTACACGCTAGGTGCATCTTAAATTCGGCGTGTGCTGTCAATTTTCCACTGCAATCGTCGTTAGGATTCAAGAACGTCTACAGTTGCGGTACACGATAAGCGGCAATGTATCATTTCCGCAATTGAAAATTCTACCGCAACAAATAAACATGAATCGCGTCAATATTGATACTTCCCAGATTCATCGGCTAACAGCCACAAATATTGGAACGACAACGTTACAACTGCACGTTCCACTAGAAGAATATCCCGAATTTCGCGTCTCTCTGTCGGCGAACAGCAAAAATTCGGACATAGGCAAGTTCAGTAACATTTAAAAATAGTAAAGTAGAAAATATCTGATATTTTCTTAAAAGAAGCATCAATTCATAATATTAATTAGAAACTCAGTAGTAGTTTTCACCGCAATTTATATCTAATAAATGGAAAGGTACGGACGGTATAAGCATCGCCCCAGGCGCAAGTCAAAGTCTCTACTTACACTTTCAACCGGTCGACTTGGCCAGCTACGCTTTCTATTTGCCGATGGTGATGAATCAGCTGCTTGGTCCGGTGTCGATGCTGAATCCTAAGAGTATTAAGCCATCGGAGTTTCTGAAAGCACACGAAACTCATTACGCAAATTTATCGGGGTTTACTATGACACCGTTGCCTGATAAGCTACCCACGGTATCTATCGATTGCACCGTTGCTGGTCGTGTTGAATATTTCAACAAACTTCTGTTTAGATTCAATCTCGAGACTAACGAAGTAAGTTCTATAAACGCCGATGAGAATATAAAAAATTAGGATAGAAATATAAAAAGCAGTGTAGAAGGCAATATTTTTTACAATCAGATTGAATACTCTTTCCCTTCAAATTTTACTATCTATGGCTGAAAATACTTCAATATTTTATTAAGAAACTTTATACTAATTTTTCCATTTTTTATCACCAGTTGCGCGATGAATTATCTATAGAGAATCGGATAAAGCCGAGGGATATAGCGGTGTCGATAAATATCGAAGAATTTAACGAGATTGATTGCCCATTCGCTATCGAGTGGTCCCGCGGTGCGGAGATCAGAAGAACATCTGATTCGATCGAATGTACCTTACGTCCTGGCGGCAGCGTCTTCTTTGTTCTGGAGTTCAAGCCGAGAAAACGCGGCAGCTTTAGTGCCGAGGCGCCGATATACGTTCGCGGCGAGCTCGACGACGGCGTGTTCAATAAATTACGTCTCGAGGGCGAGTTTCCCGCCAGTTCGATCGACATCGAGCCGACGGAGATATATTTTACGCCTGTTCCTCTCGGTACGGCGATAGAGGAAAAGTTCAGGATCCGAGCGAGGCACTTTGATAATGCGGCGTTTATACGACCGAACTTTCCGACGACGTCGCGATGCTGCGGGGATTACAAAGACGAGTTGTTACGCATCGAATTCCCGAACAGCACTATCGTTCCTGCTTGTTCGTGAGTTGGATCATTCTTTCGCAATTTCCATCATTTTCAAAACTTTCCGGTATTAGATATTTGCTTATCATTAAAGTTCGCCTCCAATCTGTTACTCGCTAGAAATGCGTTTGTTCTCAAAATTCGCTCCTCTTGCTGTGCCATCTTTTGCGCTAATTTGCAAATCGCTATTATTTTCTAATTTTATCAATTTTTTATTCTGTATATTCAATGTATTTTTTTAATTCATTTATATGGTAGCAGGAATGTTATATTTTTCTGTTTATATCAAGCTTTCTGTACGTAAAAATAATATTTTACGTAAATATTTTTATGCAAAAAGATACGTGGAACTTGAAGCGAAAATAACATTCAAGAGTGATCGGTCGGTGTCGTTGTGCACAACAATTGAGTTTTGGGACAACCATGCGGTCGCTGTGGGTTTTTTAAGAGTTTACGCTACAGCAGACAACTGTCTGTTAACAACGTACATGTACCCGATAAATATGTCTGTCTTCGATGATACATGTGCGAGAGCCGAGCACTTGGAAAAAAGTGTTTCGCGTTCATTGACATTATCGGACAACGGAATGGACAAGAATACTCTCAACAATGAAGATATTTTTAATATATATAAACACGTATGTTTCTATTTTCTTATTTTATCCACTTGCTATTGTAACAGACACTGCAGAGCGCAGATTAAAGCCGCTATAATTTTGCTTTATCTTTCTATACTTTTTCATAACATTTTCTATAATCTCTTTTATAGAATTATGTGCTTTATTTTTATCTATAACGAAATATCTTGATTTGTGTTCTTTTTTGGAAGATAAGAAATCCTTTGCTCTATATTTTATTCATATATGTTTGCTTAAATTCAGGCGAGATCAAGCATTACTGATCCGCATTTCGGTAATCCGAACGATAGCGTCGCAAAAATAACAGATTCGAAATTACATTGGAATGGCGAGATAAACGGCAATAATAATAAAATAGACGACAAGAATGTGCAGAGAGATAAAAAATGGACAGTGGACGATAACGGTAGACAAATATCGAATCTCAAAAGATATTCTGCGTTCCAGAATACAAATATTCCAGAATCTATCGATTCTGAAGCGAAGAATCACATGCACGTTTTCTCTGAAAAATTATTGCTTTCTCCTCCCACCGATAATCAAAATAGGTAAAATAAATATGTAAATATTATATAAATAAAACGATTCTATCTTATGCACGTCTGTTTGACAGCTATGAGAAATATATACAAAGAATAATTACGATAATGGAAGAATGGATGTATTCGGACGTGTTAAAATTTCATTTCTATCCAAACATTCCTCACGGCATCACGGCAGCATTTCTGAACATCTACGTGAAGAGAAAATCTAATACAAGAGTTTTTAAACGTAAAAATAATGCGACTGTGCCATCATTTGTCGACGTGCTGGAATCGCTCGTAGGATCGGACATTCGCCTTTATCTGAAAGAGCAGTAATATTGTGATATTCGTTCATTTGTATACGCGTTTCTCTGAATACATTATTGTTTCTTTAAGGTTGAAGCAATTGTTACCCGAAAACGACATTGAGAGAGTCAGTTATGTCAGTTATGTTCTTGAGTTGTACGAGAAGATACTCGACTTTCTTCTATCGCGAGGAGCGTATTTAGTTCACGTTTCGCCGCAATTTCTCCTACATTACGACGATTATCTAATTAGCATTGACATCATACAGAATAATGTAAGTATGTTATGAGCTGCTAGCTTCGAGCTCTTTATAATTGAAGACCGTAACGTAAAGAATTTAAATCGTAATTTTGTTTTCGAAAATGCAGTCAACTATATTACAGGCGCAAAAAAGAAAATCTGATGTAATGCGCTCGCAATGCGAGCAGTTGTCGCGGCAATCATTCGAACGGCAAAGCGAGCAATCTTGGTTGGATGTAATTTTGCAGACGTATAAGTGTTTTGTGCTCCGTGGAATACACGAGCATAAATTTCGAGCGTTGCCGCTCGTCACGACGTATTCCTCGAGAAAGTCCGCGATGTATCGGGAATCGATGGTGTCGTCTACAACGAGGTCCGCTATTTCGCACTATTACACGTAATCGACGACCGGCTTCTAATTGAATGGATACGCTTTCCAGTTTGCCAAGGCAGTACGAACTTCACGAGAGAGCCATTCATAGTATTGCGAATCTGCCGAACGATAGACTCACCCCCGGTGACCAATGTCCGGAAGAAAAATTTCTGCTGAATTGGCTGCAATTTCATTACGAGCAACAACGCGCGCAAGATTGGATGACCGATCGCCGTGTGATCTTGAATCCGCGGGAGAAGCAGGATGTGACCGAATATCGCGCGATTCAGAATTTTCATCGCGATTTGTCGGACAGTCTGATCCTGATTGCGGTCACCGCGTCCTACTGTCCCTTCCTCATCGACGAGTGCTTTAGCAATTTATATATTCGTCCGAGAAATAAAGAAGAGGTAATCTAACGCTAAAACCGCTTTAATAATATAATTAAAGATCAAATTATACGTTAAAGATTAAAATTGTGCCTCAAAAATTTGATCAATGAGAACTAAATAAAGATTGTAAATTAAAATTTCAGGTTTAATCTATTTTCAATTTTTTAAGCGTAACGTCAGATACGTGATAATAAATATATATGATAAAAAATTATTTTGTGTAATTTTCATACAATTCTATCAATTTAGGCATTGCATAATGCTATTTGCTTGGTCACCGCTTGGAGAAAGATACGACTTGGCTTTATAATTACGCCGATACAAGTAATTAATCCGAATCAAGTACAAATGTTAATGCTAGTCGTCCATCTTTTTCAAGCTTTGCCGACATATATACCTTGCGCCAAGGTTTGTACAATTTACATAATTTAATATCATTTTCTAAGTATTTTATTTTCTAAATATAATATCTTGATTGATAACTAAAATGTGTATGACTCTATGTAATGCATACAATTCGTGACTAATACCTTCGCGTTTTTATTACAGATAAAATTTAGCTGCCCGCTATCCGAAACTGTAACCAAACAAATAAGCGTGTCGAATCCGACAGATAAGACCGTATATTATTTATTGTCATTCCTAAGCAATGCCAATTGTTTCTTCACTGTTTTAAAGCCCGTCTCGATCTTGCGTTTGAACGCGCACGGCTCCGGCCAAGTGCAAATACAGTTTCATGCCAAGAAAATACAGAAAAGCAAAGGTAAACCAAACACTTCGGATGATTTTCTGACTCGATTTACCTCGGGAATCATACAAAGTGTTTCGCCAAATTTGATCTACAAGTAACTAACTTCGTTGTCAAGATAAAGTTCAAACTCTTACCTGTAATGCCAAATATCAACTTATTAACAGCGTACTTGTTGCTCTGCGGACGTGCTGTTGGACCATATTTCGGGAGAAATCAGACTATCGTCTTGGAGGGTTACGTCGATAATCTGAAAATAACAAACGAGTATGTTATACGCAGCAAACTGTATAAAATCGTTGACATAAATCTCAGAATCAACGTACCTTATCGAAACGCGGCAGAGTATGATATATGGATGACGGAAGAACGGCCGAGCCATCCCTGTAAGACAATAAAAAATTAGTTGAAATTTTTACGTTATACTTTTAAAGTCATATTTTTTTAAATATTAATTTTAAAAGGAATATATAACATAACAAATTCTATTTGAAAAAACTGTGTGTTAGCATTTTAATATTTGCATTCTATAATTAATATACCCTGAAACAACTTATGTTCTTCACGTCATAATTATCAATTATGATACAGTAATAATGTGAATATTTTTAGCGATTCTAAAAATGACACAATGGTGCGAATTACGTGCTAGAAAAATACCGCGGAGACTTTTCTTGAATCATAAATCATTGATCGTTACTGAAGGTGCATCAGAAGCGAATTTGTCGATCACTGTAGCATGTATCGTAGCTAAGCATCAAACTTTTTGGTTGATCTTCCAAGCAAAGACGGGTGACTTTATTATCCAAGTGAGTGAGCTGAAATATAAGCAAGTTGTTTTATGATATTTAAAAGTACGAAAACGGGTCTATAAGCAAAAATATTATTCGAAAATAGATTAAATCAAAATATATTTAGTGAACTGAAAATGTTATCAACTGCTTTGTGAAATTCTCCATATGTTTGTTATAATCATTACAGATAAACTCGATTTGGCAAACATCTGTCAATGATCACATCGTCGTCGAGTGGACGACTCAAGGGGAATGTGTTTGCTCCGATTCGCGAAGCATAAGAGATGCTTGTCCGTTTAACATTAACCTGCCTATACCATCGCGAAATTCTCAGTTTTGGAAATGCGTGGTCAAAATGTTTGAGAAAACTCTTGATTCTAGAGAACGCCAGTTTTGGGCCAAATTTTTGTCCCAATACTCGAGTATGTCGTTTTAATAAATTACTTAACATGTAGAATATCGAAAAATTTTAAAACGCATTTCCGCCGCGTCTTCTTAATCTATTTGTACTCAGTTTTTGATCTTTTCTTTTGTTGTCGATTCCAGGTACATACATTGAATTATGTTTAATACGATGGTTGATGAGAGATGATGATGATTCCGCGGCTTTGGAATTTGTCCATATTTTTAACACCACGGTCACGTATAAAGTAACGATTTCTGACAAATTGAGTCCCCTTGTTGTACCAGAATATATCACTATTCAAGGTAAATAAAATTAAAAATTTACCACCATAATTTATTTTTATATTTTGTTTGTGTGAATTAATTCTATATATTAAATATAAAGAAACAAATCTGAGATACCTTTTTAACATACATATATGTAATCAAGATGTGAGACCGTCCAATCAGCAAATTCCAATAATTGCGCATATTTTACCAACAACTCCTCTATTGTATGAAACAACAATCACTCTCACATCCTTGGATGGCAAAGAACTTCGAGTATATACTATCAGCTGTTTACAGTCATAAAAGCAAGTTATCACTATTGTACAACTATATATTAATTGTAATTTATTCATGTAAATTATTGATGTAAATTTTTATGATTTGTTTCTTGCTTCTGTAAAAAATTAGAAATGTGACAGTAATTAAAGAAGCAATAGAAAAAAAGAGTAGTAAACATCAGAATATACATGATTTGAATATGTATATTTAATCATTGATACATACGTACATGGTTGTTTTGTGATCAAAGTGAAATACAATTTCTTATTAAGTATTTCTTTTTATAAATCAAAATTAGTCAATACTATCATCGGTAACAACAAAGAAATTTCAACTCTGACAAAAGGCAGTAAAAATTGTTGACTAATTTTAAATTATAAAAAGGAAATACATAAAAAAGCATTACATACGAGGCGGAGCACATAAAAAAATAATTATATACGGAGCGGAGCAATATCCAAAAGCTTAAAACGATTATAAAGTGTATAATCATGAGGGTAGCAATAAATAACATTACGACATATGGTCAAAGAATCTATAAAAAAACTCGATGTACGCATTTAAAATGCCTTAGATATGAATATTCGAATTCATGCCTGAATATTCACATATTTCTGAAAACTTTAAAAAGAATTATGTATTTACATCAAGGCGAATATTGCCTTTCGTCATTATACAATAGTTCCCGGAATACAAGAATTTGTTCGAAACTGACTGATGACTTCAATTGCTAATTGCGGTTTATCTGTTTCTCAGGAACTAATTCATAAATCTCTTCGGATCACCGAGGACGAAAATAGGATAATAAGAAAAAACAAGATAATACTACATATCTCATACCTCAAAGGAAACCATCTCATACAGCCAACCTCATTATTTGGTATCACATAATCCTTGAAGTCGATATGCGGGCTGATATTCAGGTAAGGCTCGGATAGGAAATACAGGAATACAGGAATGCAGGAAGAGTATCTTTCGGTTCCTAAACAGTGAAAAATATGTGGGAACTTATATTATATTCTTATTCGGGAACTATTGTATCTGTTAGGGATGTGCGGATACTAATAAGGTTCGATTCGAATGGCGTTGTTAAGTTCAGGTACTCACTAAGTTCAGTTAACTTGAATATTTTCAATTAACCGAATCTTATTTCTAATTCGGAAAGAATCGAAAATCCGATAACATTCATCATTGCTGACAAAAAATTAGATTAGATTCGATTAAAACAAGATACCGAATACCCGAAAGATTTAGGGTAAGAAGTTCGAATCAAACATCAGATACCCGAAAATTTCGGGTGTTCGCACGTCCCCAATACACACTATCAAGAATTATACTATCAAGAAACAGTACTAAAATGCACTGTTCCTTGTGGGATAGGATCAAATTCAGTATTTAAATCTATTACTTACAGGTAATAGATTTAAACCAAAACATATTCAAATGTTAGCAACAGTTTAGATTTGGAAAATATACTAAATTTGCGTTAAATCTATTATTTATAATAGATTTAATGAAATAATATAATCCAATATATCTATGTAGACTGTCTAAAGCCAGTATTTCATAGCTGGTAGAGACTCGTCGAGGCAAGCTACAACAAATCATTCACAAATCGTAAGATAGGGTAACTTGCCATTGCTTGTGGCTTAAGGCTTTCCGTTGAGTATCGGAAAATAAGTCTCAAGTCAAAGTCAAACTTTCCGAGCCACGAGCCGCCAATCGCGCGCCGTTGAACCGTGACTTGCTTTTCGATGCTTGCATAGGCTTATCGAAAAATATATGTATTGTAGTTTTACTATCTATTTCAAACTAAGCTCGATGAATTGAAAATGAACAAACTATCCAAGCCGCGAATTGTCACAAGTTAATGTGCATTGATGCACGGCTTATTATAGCTTGTTGCTTATCATTTTGCAAATCGAGCATATGCAAGTACCTATATTAAGCAAGTCACGAGTCATGATAAACCACCAGTTGTGAGATACCGGCTTAATGATGATTTACAAAAATGCAAGCTATACAAAGGACCAAATATTTTGAATGTAAAACATAAGTTAACGACATAGACGTTCGTAGAACGACTTCGACGTCCGTCGTAGACCATCTAAAGAATGGTATCATTATACCATCTTTAGGTTTAAAACATTTAGTCCCATTATACATATCAACTTACATTTTCGTAAGTTTGTCTAAGGGTGGATTTATGTCTTCAATTTGAGACATTTGGTCCCGTAAATATTATAGCTTACACTTTTGTAAGCACGTACAGTTACGGAACCGATCTGTTCGGAATATACTTTATCCTATCCCTACTAACTATATATTAATAATAATATGTTGTCCTAATTCAAATTATATCTATAATTATTAGATAGTACGTATGTCAAACTTTCTTTTTCATGCGAGCTTGTGCTTTCTGCAAGAGATAATCGAAAGATTGCTCGTCTGCTTGAGGTAGTCTGTTAATTGATGAACTATTCGACATATTATCTAGAAAGAAAATATAAATTATTTCCAACTTCAAGATGATAAAACTTTTGTATAAATATATATATATATATGTATATATAATACGATCGACTCTTACCAAGATCTGTATACGTATCTTGACAAAAAGTTCTACGGCCACCAAAGGATAAATCATATCTAGGTAAAGATGGATCGTCATTACCGTGCTCTTTGACGTGATAAGCATCAGCTCTATGCTCAAAAGTGACGAAACCATAGTTATTGCTGAAACAAATTATACATTTGTAAATAAGTATTAATGAATTAATAAGCATTATTTGATCTCTGACTGCTATCGACACGCTTATAAATGCTCGTAAAATATAAAATATTGACAAAAAAAGTTTTATTTGCAATAAGTTTTTTTTAAATGTGAAAACAATCTGTGCAACGCAGAAAAAAGTACTTTCTATACAGAAACAATTGTTATTTTAGTTTACTCGTACGCAGCGTGCACGTTTATTTTTAAATGTTTCGCAGTCAAAGAGTTGAGAAGAGATTGAAGTAAAAAATACATACCCGTTCTTATTAAAGTGGAGACTGATATTTTTGATGGGTCCATACATTTCAAATCTATTGGTCAAGTCCGCCTTAGTGACTCCTTCGTTTAGACGACCTACGTAAAGTATCTTACGTTGCTCTACATCTTTTCTCTTCGTCTCTTTGTAGAACCGATCAGAATCATAGGATCTATCGTAGGAATGCTTCGGTGATGATCTAATAACATTAAATTACAAATGTGACGAAAAAAAGTTTTTAACTTTCCTTGTCTGCTCAAATTTGTTAGTCGATAGTAGAAAATAAACTCTTTAATTGACGATCACTACATAAAATCAACATAATGATAGCAGACTATAGTAGGAAATATATTAAATTCGTTTTTAAATAGTTTTTAAAGTTTGTATTTCATAAAATATGTTTTACCTCAAATTTCTATAGACACGATGACTGTAAGACTGTCTCTGGTATTTATCAAAATTTCTCTCGCGTTCGGCGTTATCGTTTCTATGGTAATTTGACCATCTATTTCTTCCAAAATTGGAATCAGAAGAAGACCTACGAGAACATCGTTCTTTCTTTTAAAAAATCTATATTCTTACTTAAACCAATTTTATTCGTAAAATAACTTTAATTTTGTACATTGTATAGTTCTGATTAACAAAGTAAATGATTACTGATAAAATAATTTAATTCAGAAACTATCAGCTGACAATGGAGAGGTTAAAAATAGAAATTTTCAAATTATTCAATGAATAATTTAGAAATTTTCAATGTATTCAGATTTATCTTTTACTCACCTTGAACAACTGGAGTGATAGTGTGAGGAAGTTCTGGATCTGGAACTTGATCTAGAAATAGATGTTCCGTATGACCGCGATTGCGATGACCAACTGCTCATTGAACTAACAGAGCTGCGTCGATGACTCAGTTTTCGTCGACGAGTATTGCTGTGTCTGCGGGATCTACTTCTACTTCTACTTCTACTACTCCTACTCCTACTCCTACTTATGCTTCTGCATCTGCTCCTGGTTCTTGTTCTGCTTCTACTCCTGCTCCTGGATTTACTTTTGGTCCTGATCCTGATCCCTATCCTGGTCCTGGTACTGGTCCTGGTCTTGCTCTTGCTCCTGCTCTTGCTCCTACTTTTGCTCCTGTTCCTGTTCCTGTTCCTGTTCTTGTTGCTATTCCTATTCCTGCTCCTACTTCTGTTGCTGCTTTCGCTTTCACTATCATCTGTATCTATGATTATTATTGATCTGCTCCTACTTCTACTTTTGCTCCCAGGTCTGTTTCCAATGCTAGTTCTACTTCTACTTTTACTTCTGCTTCTACTTTTCTTGCGCTTAGTCTTGCTTTGCAAACTAGATTTACTTAAACTGTTAGAAAGATTATGTTTATTGCTGGGACTTTCTTCGTTTATGTTTTCTATTATTATGTCGTTTTCTTTCCTGTAATATTGCATAAGTTATTATAATATAATAATTAGAACATGCGAGATTTGTAAGATTTTACAGTGAACTGTTTTAGGAAGGTTATACTGAGATATATTGAGATATAATAAGATATATTAAGATAAACTGAGATAAAATTGTTTTTTTCGACAATGCATATACAGTTATTATTGTGCATATGTCATTATACAAATCAAATACATCAATTCGCCTAGTGACTTTTAGAATAAAAAAAAGAAATTTTATTGTAAAATCTAATAAATCTTCACATCCATACAATAAGAGTGTATTAATAATAGGTTTTAATACGTTACCTTTCTTCGCTTCCCTCTACAATGACTTCTTCACTTTTTTCTACGATCAATGACTTTGAAAATTCAAAGACAGTTTCATATGTTTGTATTCCTATACTACGAGTTTGTAATTTTGCCTTGTTCTTTGTTTTTTCGATATCTGATTCTTCCATTATAAATTCTCTTTCGGACCAAATTGGATTGTTAAAGTTGTCTTTAATCGGCTCTGTCATAGTGAAAGCATGATAAACATACTTCCATGTTGTGGATTGTGCCAGAGAATTCGTTTTATTATTACTATTTAGATCTCTTCTATTTCGATATTCTGCCAAATTCAATTTTTTACGAGGCTGTTTCTTTTTTTCTTCGTGTGATGGCGATTCTGAAGTATTTTGTACGATTAAATCCTGTACTCGTTCAAGATACTTGTTCATATTGCTTGGAATGGACGCTACATTTTCACTAGAGTTACTCTTTAAAAGCGAAGACTGTGATATATTTGGTGGTTTTTTTAACACGGACATCATTTGTATTTTACCACTCGCTTGCATATTCCGTGATTCTATAATGCTTGCAGCCAAAGCAGAGCGAATCTTCACTTCATTTATAACAGATCTTTTTTTAGAATATTTATTTGGAGCGTCCACATTTTTCATGGATGATAAATTATTTTCTTGAGATTGTTCTAAGGGAATCTTCTGACACTTGTATTTATTTTCAGCAGCAATGTCGTTGGTTCCATCTGTTTTTGTGATCGTTAAGGTAAAAGTTGCTTGTTTTTCAATCTTATTAAATACATTAGTTTTAGCCAATTTCGGATCAGTACTACAAGGCAATTCCTCGAGTCTGGTAGAGTGATGAAGTTGTTCCTTCGAATTACTGTCATGTTCTTTGGTTTCATTGTAAATCTTATTTCTTATCACTTTAGTTTGATTCAATTTTAAATTAGAACCTATAAAAAATAAATAAAAGAGTTATTACTTTTAAATGTAATAGTTTTTTTCAGCAATAAACTATCATACTTACAATATTTACTAAGCAAGTGTTTCGTACTAGGAAGAATTGGATTGCAATAATCATGGTCTCCAATTATCGGAACCCTGCAAATATTTGGACTCCTTGGTCTTACTGTCTTCGCTATTAACTAAAAAGAAGCATTTACAATTGATGAATTATATGTTGTTGAATATTTCATAAGTGATCCGTATCCGAGACAAACAGTCGTGCAAATTTTACATAATAGGAAATATTGTCATAGTATAATTTTATTGCGAAACTTACTTCACATTCTTTATATGCCTTTATATTCTTATTACAATTTGCTACAGGTTTTCTAGTTGTTTCACAGTGTTTCGTAGTTTTTGGCATGGCTGGTATTATAGAAATATGTTTCTTCGGAGCTGATGCCTAAAATTAAAAAAAAAAAGAAAACAATTATAATAAAGGCGTGATCATAGCGTGCTGATTTGTGTGGTAGTCTAGCATATCAATGATGGTAAATTTGATCTGCGAGAAGTTGTCAATGTTCAAATTTAAGCACACGAAGAAAAATAATATCATCCTTTCCTATTTGCATATTATTGTAATAAATTATAATATTTATTTAATTAATTACCTTTATCCTATCAATTACTTCTTTCGGTGGTGAGTTTTGCTGTGGAATGCAAGTTCGCGGAGATTTCTTTGGCATGTTATTCTGATCTTCATTCTTCGTTACTTGCTGTGTTTTAGTAGAATTCATATAAGATATTGAATCCTTTTTGATCTCTGCTTTATTACATTGAATTGGTAACACTTCCTGTTTTTCAGAAGCCTCAAATTGTTCAAGCAAACTCTCTACGTCAAGAGCTTGTAGCACTAATAGAAAATAAATTTTAGTTAAATGAATCATTTTGATCTAAAAATTTTATACACATCTGTATAAATTGACTAATAAATACCTGGTATTTCATCTGGTATTGTTTCAACATCTATACAATCTTCTGATTCCTCTTGTTTAACTTCTGCATTTTGGTTCTTTTGATCATGATTGATTTTTATATTTTCTTTCTTTTGAACTTGCTTGACTTTTATATTTTCTTCCTGCTTTTTATTTTGCTTAATTCTTTTATTTTCTTTCTTTCCTCGTGTCTTTGTTGCATTTGTATTTTTCTTAGTAGTATATGCACTTCTTCTTTTAGGTTCAGGAGCTTTTGGGGGTGATTGAGTAGGCAAAGCAATTGAATCATTAACTTTTTTGTCCATGTGTTTCTGCAAGTGCGAGTCTGAGAAAATCCTCGAAAAATTCTCTGTACTATCATTCTCTTTAGAAACGACTGCACTTTCCGATGCAAATAAAAATGTGTCTCTACAATATTAAAAAAAGAAATATATACATACATATATTTATATACATATATATAATTTTTAAATAAGTATAATGAAATTTACGGTTTTTTAGATATATCTTCAGTATAATTGATCTCGAGAGAACTTGGGAGATTTAAATTAAAACTCCTCGAGTTAATATAGTCACTTTCAGCCCAACTTGGCAGTGTATCTTGCCGCTTTCCCACTAAATCCTGTAAATAAATTTTTTATAATATAAGTATATTAATTGCCATATTTTATTGTAAACATTTTAGAAGACATTAGTTTTATTATTGAATTTAATTTTACAATATTTGTTTTATAAATAAATTATAGTCATATCTCGCTAAAATAAAATTATTGGAAGTAAGCAAGTCCTTTTAAGTGATGTACTTTTCAATTTCCACCCTTCTTCTAGTAAATTAACATAAATAAATAATTTATTTTATTATAAATATATGGCTAGGTAAATATAATATAGTAAAAAAAATAGTACTAAAAAATCTTACTCTAGCAGCTGTCAACTTTAGTGAGAGTTTGCTTTAGTGAGACTCAATTGTAACTTCATCAGTAAAATGTTTTAATATTTTATCAAAATTATGTTGAACGCTTACATATGCATACCTATTATTTAAACTTTAAATTACGAAAAAATTACGTATCTACTTGCAATACGTTACCTGCTCAGATACAATTTCCGGGAAGAGTTCATAAATAATTCCATAAGTTGGGAAAAGTTGAGTAAAGTTTTCCGTTTCAGTAGGAAGTCCTTGCAGAATCTGCGACATCTGCGATACGTTGATCAAGGAAACGTTAATATCTGACAAATAATTAAAAGATAGCGATTCGAACCACGCGTTCGATTTAGGTTATGTTTCCGATCAACAGAACCGCAATGAGACACGTGCACGATTTGCAGATCGATACTTGATGTCAAGCGCGCTTCGTGGTTAGACACATTCATGCGAAACGACCAAAGTACACACAATGTTTTACAGCGTAAATGTATCCACGTTGCACTAACGTGTTACAGATTCTTGTGTCATGTCAGACCGAACCAGCTGCGGCAAAGATATACTACCGGCGATGATCGCCGATCGCCCGGTTATACCGTTATCCACTACGGAGCAACACACAAATTCGTCACGATGACGTACTCGACACTTAAATGTAGAAAAAAAAAGATGTAACACCGAAAACTCGTTATATTCACGGATAATATCCCAACACGAGTGAACGCGTGCAAACGCGTGGTCCGAAAATTCCTTCTCTCTCACACAGAGAATGTGAAACAGTGATGCGATATTGCAACGCGGCTTCGCAGTTCCGAGCACACACACAATCCGAGAACAATGTCCATGTGCGCTCAGCGCTCGGCTAGTAGAAGAGAGGAGACATATTATTTCGTCTCGCTTTTACCGAGCCAGTAACAGTAGGCGATAAATATCAAATAGCAAGCGTGGCCAAGTAAGTAAGACGAGTGACTAGAATATTAGAGGTCACGTGTTCAAGACCTTGTTTTTTGCAATCTTTTTCTTTCTTTTTTCCATTTGTTTTTAACAGTGTACAATTAAATAAATTATTAGATAATGTTTTCGGTTAAAAAATATTATTTTATATCTATTAAAAATATTCGCATATGTCAAACTAATAACTACATAATACTTTGCTATTGTTAATAGAAAAATAAAAAATTATTTTACAATTCTACAACAAAGTTTATTTCTGTATTACATAAAATTAATTATAAGTTATTTATAATATTTATAATTATTAATAAAATAACAATGGCACAATCACAATTATATTAATTATAGCTTTCGGAATCTTTTTCAAAATGAGAATCTTTGTACACATTTGAATGATATTTATCATAAACATTGAAAGCATAGTACCGATTTATACGATTGGGTTTCAATGTTTTTACAATAAATATAATCCAAATGTGTGTAAAGATTCTCATTTCGAAAAGTATTCCGAAAGCTATAATTAATATAATTGTGTTTGTGTGCCATTGTAATTTTATGTAATACAAAAATAAACTTTGTTGCAGAATTGTAAAATAATTTTTTATTTTTCTATTGATAATAACAAATCAGTATTATCAGTATTACGTAGAATTATTAGTTTAATATATGTAAATATTTTTAATAAGTATAAAATATTTTTTAACCGAAAACATGATCTAATAATTTATTTGATTGTTAAAAACAAATGTAGAAAAAAAGAAAAAAGTTGCAAAAAGCAGATCTTGAGCTTTAATATTCTTACTACTCGCCTTACTCGCTGGGCCACGCTTACTATTTTAAATTTATCACCTCTTTGATAGAAATGAGACAGAAAACGATAGACTTTCTTCTACTAGCCGAGCAAATGTGAGACAATGAGAACTTCTCGGTATGTGTGTTCGGGGCCACGAATCCCATTGTAACATCACTGACACAAAAGGAAGGCGTTTAGTGTGAGTGTGCGCGTACATTTGTTCTGCATTTGTATTTCTACAGCAAGTGAAAGAGAAAGATGAAAAAGTGCAAAAAAGAAAAAGGTAAGCAGGTAGGCAGGTAGTGGAAAAAAACGATCCTTCTGGTTTTGCCACGACATACAATAGTAAATATGCTATAATATAGAAAGCTGAATTTTTTTTTGAAATTAACGGTTACATATTTTATTGTTGATCATATAATTGGAGATTATTAGATAACACGTGATCGCGTAACTAACGTTATCAATTACTATTTCGATTGCCACACGCTGTGTCACGCGGCAATGTGCAAAACGTACAAAGCAGAACCACGTTTTTATAGCGTTTTCCTGTGAATAAATTTTGATTCATTTCGGATCAATTAATCACTATTTCACTATGAATTCAAATCTCTTATTGCGGAGACGATGCAATGAAGTCATTAATCAACCTTGGGCTGATCAAAATTGTTCGAAAATGCAAATATGTGTTACGAATACAATTGTATGAAAAAATAGCACTCACGTGTTCAGAACGAAAATTTTATTTTTATAAATAACGCCGGTCCGGATAAAAATAATATATAAATAATTGCAAAACTGTTGGCTGCTTTTCAATTGTTTCGGAGATTTCAATCGGACATGCAAAAAATTATATATGCGGCTTACCTTTTTATGTTTAATATCGATTCTGTCGTTAAAAGATCGTCTTCACTGGTTCAGCACAAGCGATACTCTGTCGAGCCCATGGTCTAAGTGGATGCATCTACCCATAAATCTGGAAAAGTCACGCATGCGCATCACTTAAAATCTGATCTACCTAAGAAATATTTTACTAAAAAAAACATTTTATTTTATTATTTGGAAAGATATTTTGTGAAGGATTAAATCTATACAGTGACAGCATATACACATTTATTGGTACTCGAAGTTGCATGATCAATTTCGCAAATTAACAGGTACCTATCTGAGAAACTGACCATAAAACTTCGTTGCTATGCACAAATAAGCGTTGCTATGCACAAATAATCACATGTGGAATTTCTCCAGATTTTTCCAGATTTTTCCAGATTTTTCCAGATTTTTCCATCGACGATTTTTCGCAGTAATAAAAGAAAAAGACAATTTTAAGTCATTTGTTATTCATATTTATGATTAATATTTTTAACACTACGATAATTATTGAAAATTAGTTAAAACTATGCATTTCACAGTCTCAAAAAGTTAATTATGGTGCAAATATTATACCACGTGATTGAATTTACACCTCTAAATTTATCGATTAAATTTACACCCTTTTTTCTATCTATACACAAGTCCATGGTACATTGACTTTTTGTTTTCTGTGTTGCACTTGTGCTGCATTACGCGACAATATTCTCCGATAATATAATATAAATATAATTTGCAATAATATCCACGTGGCTTTGCTGAAGCATAAAATCGCGGAAGACATACACTGGACTACATAATTTCTAAAGTTAAATTTATAAAATGCTTCTAACGCTCTCTTTCTATAAATAATGCTTACGAGAAAAGAGTATTTAATTAGTAAATTATCCAAAATAAAAACCTACAATAACGTGGTCGAATTTGCTTACTAGTTCAGCTGTAGTTAAGTTATACGGATGTTACTGAAGCAGCTACAAGATGGTGCCACAAGGATTGTAATAACAATTTGGATTTCTATATTTACATATTTATTTTTATTGCAAATTTATTTCTAATTGTCAACTTCTTTTTTTCGTCAAACTCAAAATTCACAAATCTATTCACAGTCCGTTCTTATACTTAAGATCGTCTTAAATATAGTTTTAAAATGTTATGAACCAATCAGAAAGCTATAATAATATTTTAAGACAGTATTTAAGATAATCTTGCAAAAAGAACGGATAATGAATACTAAAAATTTACTGTAATAATTAGTTAACCAGTTCCGTCAAGACAATCTTGTGATACATGTGGCATCCATTTAATTATTTTTAATTACATATTGCTAAAGTAGCAATAAATTAGACTATGCAAATGCATTAACAAAATAAATAGTGCATTATAAAAACGTTTACTTATCTTAAACCCTAACTAATCTCAACGTGAGATAACGTAATTGAACGAATAAACCATCAATTACCTGGGGTAGTCTTATCTAATCGTATTTTCTCCTTTCAAACCTAACCCCTGATACAAACCTTAATACAAATTTTCTATTTAAGTGTCACTTTTGTGGCTCTGAAAACAGAATTCTCATTTATTATAGCTATTGCCACATACCTTTCAAATCAGTCATGCTGAGATGTCATTAAGAATTGATTACTGTTATTTGAAGTTGCATAGTCAGCTAATCAGGTAGTTTTCAGTGTTTTCTGCACACGTGTGGAATTTTTTCAAATTTTTCCAACAATTTCACCAACGATTTTGCGCAGTCACAAAAGAAAAAGACAATTTTAAGTCATTTGTTATTCATTTGTCAGTGATTTGTTATTCGTTATTCCTTGGATGGTGTTTAGAAACTACACTCTGGGTGATAATCTTTGACTATTGTCTATAGTATACGTCATATACATGTAATATCAATAATAGACAAAAAGACTTTCACTCAGATTTTAGTTCTAAACGCACCTTTTTAAATATTAGGTCGTTCATTAAGTTCTGCGGTGTTTTTTATTTTACATTAAAACATAAATCTATCGTACTTAAAGATTTTATCAATCTAAAATATATTGTCCATCTTAATCGACGACTTTTTGCCAACGTTCTGTAAGAGACATAATGCCGTGTTTGTAGAAGTCATGCGACTTCTGCGCGAAAAAGTCCTCCAAGTACCTTTGGATATCATCCATTAAATTAAAGCGCTGCCCGTCGAGATTGTTTTGGAGAGATCGAAATAGGTGGTAATCTGATGGAGCAATGTGTGGAGAGTACGGTGGATGCTGCATGACATCCCAGCCAAAACTCTTCAATTTCCATGACAACGCCAAACCACACACTGCTTTGGTGACCAAACAGAAATTCAAGAGTTTTGGTTGACAAGTCATGCAGCACCCACCGTACTCTCCAGACATTGCGCCATCAGATCACCACCTATTTCGATCTCTCCAAAATAATCTCGACGGGCAGCGCTTTAATTTAATGGATGATATCCAAAGGTACTTGGAGGACTTTTTCGTGCAGAAGTCGCATGACTTCTACAAACACGGTATTATATCCCTTCCAGAACGTTGGTAGAAGGTCGTCGATCAAGATGGACAATATATTTTAGATTAATAAAATCTTTAAGTACGATAGATTTATGTTTTAATGTAAGATAAAAAGAACCGCAGAACTTAATGAACGACCAATATAATAAATATTGCGAGCTTTATATAACCGTATTGTATTTTAATAATTTGTATAATTTACGAAACTCTTAGAGTCCAGACATAACGTGCTGATACATAGGTTGCCGGTCAATATCTTGCTCATTTTTACAAAGAGCATTTTTGATAGTTAATGATCATAGAATAGACACAGTAAACTCAGAAGGTCGATTCTGTATCATGCAATGTAGTGAAAATTACAAAAGTGAGCAAATTTACTAAAGTATCTATGATATTACTAGTGCACACCTAGTAAATTTGCTCACCTTTGTAATTTTCACTACATTGCATGATACAGAATCGATCCCCCAGATATAAATGCTATGAATTGAATACGAAGTTATGTAAGCAAGTTTAATAAAGAGTTTGATAAAGCAGCAAAATAAAGAGTTCATTAGAATACAAAACTATTTTTATATAAAATTATCGCTGTTAAAAGCTTGTGAAAAGTGTACAGTTTAACACATTCTATGCCAAGCCATTTTTGTGTGATTTTCCATTCAGGCCACATGTATCACTGATGGCCCAGCCTGGCGCATTTGAGTTCAAGTATATATTATAATAAATTTAATATTGAAAAATGTATTATTATCAAAATAAAAAGACATTTTACAAAATGCAGTGTAGAACAAAAGAAATAAGTTATGAAACGTTTTATGATAATGTATTTGTTTATACTTACTTAAAGTATTAAACGGCCTAAATTGAACGTTCAGTTCCACCGATGGTGGAACAGAACGTGTTAAAGCTACAAAATATAGTAAATATTCGCAGAGAGAAAGCAAAGATTTTCAGAATAAAGAACATCTAATCAATCGCACTAATAACAAAATAATAACCTTGCACATTAATCGAGAGCAATAAACAATCTTAATAAAACAAATTTCCCTTATCTATCTCTGAAATTAGCTTTATTTCTATTAAATTTGTTGAAGCTTTATTAATTATTTACATGCTATTAATAATATAATGCCATAATGCTAAATATGATAACATTAATATTTAGAAAGATTTAGAATTAATTCAATAACGTTATTTCTGGCAACGCTATGTTAATATGGGTTTATCCGTATTTGCGGGAAATTGTTCGCGTCGTGAGCGCAGTACCGCAAAACTATTGGCGAAACGATGCTGCTAAATTTTAGTACAAATGGAAGATGCAGGTAACCGGTAAATACGGGATCTAAGTACATCTAACAACGCAGGAAGGAAGAGATACATCACGCTGTTGTTCGCGTTTGTGAGTGCTGCGCTCACATTTCACAGCACACGTTGTTTTAATCCGCTAGTATCAAGGATGGAAGGACGCAATCTTAAGCTACGTATATACACACGTACGCATATATGCGCGCTCATATGCAACCGGAAACCGAATAGTGAACCGAGTGAATATTTCAGCAGAGATTAACAATAATAAAGCATAACTATACTCAGCAGATAGGATATTATATATCCGCATTTGTTTGCTCGCCGTCAAATTGTTTTTGTCACAATTCTGTTATACATTCTGAGCCTTCGTGTAATCGTTGCATATGTGGAGTTCAGAGAAAAAGTAGATCAAGTCCATTTTTGTTGATTGTTAGAAAATTAGTTCTAAAGTTAAAGTTCTAATTGTGTGCAACATGTATACTGCTTTTCATAGGCAATATATAGTTTCTTTTAATTTTAACTTTTCACTCACACTTTTAAATCATTCAGTAAAAACTGTTCAGTTTTTTTTTTCTAGTTTATACATGGATTTAAAAAAAAGATTTGGTCCACTTTTCCTCTGAGCCTCTCATATATAGTTTTGAAGACGTTATTGGAAAACAAGTTTACACAGAATATTCTACAACTTGCAATTCTAACTTTAGTTGAAAGGATTACGATTTAATGATGAGCTTCTTCAGCAAGTTCGTTAAAGAAAAATTGACTGTAAATTAGTCAGATGATTTTGTCAATAAAATTAAGGACGCGAAATATAAATGTGCATACTGTGACGTGACTCGACGAGAAGAAATTTGAGATTACATCATCTGACTTGAGACTTTTACAGATAAATGATTTCTGCAAGAGTTTTGTTTAGATTTCGATTAGGGAACTATTTGAGACAGCGTGATTCCTGCGGGCCTCATACGGATCTCTGTTTGGCGAGCCAGCGACGAAAAGCCGTCCCGGAAAAGAAGAAGCTGCACTACTTTTTCATCTTCTTTAATTCTGGCATCGAATAGGCTACTGCCTTTTCCCTACGGCCATAAAGTAACTTAGGGTAAAAGCTGAGTGATGTAAGGCCAAAAAAGTTTAAGTAAGGTTCTAAATATTGAATGTTTTCTATACTATTCGGCAGTTTAATCCGCGAATTTTATAGAAAAACTCAAATAAACCCATTCCTCGGTGGCAAAAAAATTGAAACGATATCCAACAAAGGGTAATCGTTAAACAC